AAATCTAGTCAGGCTCATGAACCTTGGTGTTGAGGATGTATAGCTTCTTTCTTGCTAGCACTGGGATGGGTTCTTCATTGGCTATTGGGGATTGGACCATTGGCTGCTTCCCTAATCAGCTGCTTCTCTGGAGGGTGCCCAATTCATCCTCCATGTCTGGTACTCCTGCATTCCTTTCCAGCTTGTTAACTTCTTTTTCACTGGAGGTCATCATGCCTAGCATGTTATTGATATCCTTTTGGATCACACGGGCTTCTCTCCTTCTTTACTTTGCTTATGGGTCTTCTACCAGTTACCTGAAGAATATTTGCAGGGATTCTTTCATTCCTGGTTTCTGCTTTTAGAAGTGTGTGTAGGTCTGTGTACTCCAGTTTGAGCACAGAACCTGGATTGAAGAATTTCTCCCCAGCGTTCCTGTGTGGACCCAACTGCAGGTAGCCACCCTGTATCCACCCTGCATCTTCAGAGCTCTAGACTGAGAAAGATTTGATGACAGAGATGACCCTGGTGCTCTGCTTTTAAAGGGCTGAATTGTGATACTGAACTGTGCTTTCTAAAACTCCCTCTCCCTCCTCCAATCAGTCCCCTAAAGTGCCGTTACAAAAGTCTGTGAGATACTGAGCTGTTGATTCACAAACACATAGCTTTCATTGTCCTTCAGTGATCAGAAGTTTAGTCATACCATAAGAAGTTTGTGATGTGTGAGAACACACTATCATCCCTCAAAATGATGCAGTAAATTTGTTTTTAAGATTTCTCTCAAAATTATCCCCTTTACAAGGCTTCTCTCATTTGCCAACATGGCTGAAAACTTCTCAAAGTCTCTTGCTGTGCTGAGCTATCTGCAAGGAGATTAGGTATGTCCTTTGATCATTGTGGTTATAACACTCCTCAAGAAAGTGGAGGTTATGATTTTTAATCCCTCTGGACTGCAGAGAAGGAATTTGAAGCTATCAGTTGGGAGATGAGTGTTTTATTAAGCAGGCTGTTAGATAAAAGAGGAGTTATTTTCAAGCAACTTCATGGCATTTCTTACACTCTCATTTCCTTTGCCCTGATAGCAAGAGATGGATCTCTGCAGCAAGCTACTTTGCTCTTAGTCCCATTTATTTTATTGAGTGTATCAATAGAGCAAGGTGTTGCTTATTGAAAGATGTATGGTAGCTGTTTTGAAAAACATGCAGTGTTTGTACTGGAATACCAAGTAATGTGTATAAACTTAGAAACTATAAAGACTGCAACGTTAGATAGTCACAGTTCTTGAAAAGTGAAATTCTGCGACTGCCAAGTTCAATACAATGCTTTTTCCTCACGTGTAAATAATCACTTTCATTTTTTTGACAGTAATAGGTTCCTTAGACTGTCTTGAAAATTGATTTTCTTTAATGCTTTTTGCTATAGTGTGATCAAGGAAGCAGTGTAATAGCTCTTACTTACCAATATTAATTTTTCTATAAGAAAAATTACATTTTGCTGAATAGTTGCAAGCCAGGGAGTTACTAAAGGGCGTGCTTTTACTGTAGATATTTCTCTACCTCCATGGCTCATGAAATTATTCTAATTTAAGCCTTCCTCTGTAACAAACATAGTCACACTATAAGAAAATACTTGGGAAGGTTTATGTGCCTTAATACATGAGTGTAAGATATTAAGAAAACGCCGAGTAAGAAAGGGAGCTGTGGATGAACTAAAGGCAGACTAGGAACAATGGGAAGCATTAAGATGGAAAAATGACGTACAAGGAAAGACAGTGAACTGTGATTATTTAGTCTAAGCAATAATCTCTCTGAAGGACAAACAGAAGTAAAGCCAGTTGCATTATAGCATTAGAGGTTCAGGTTATGTATGAAGGAAATACTTCTAACCATAAAGATAGTTAAGGCAATAGAGTAGATTACCTAAAGAAGATATAGAATCTGCCCTTAAGGAAAAGAATGGGAGAAAACCAAACCATTATGTCAGAAGTAGCTAAGGTATAGCTGATTTTTGCAGTAGTACAAGAGAATAGTAGTCTCTCGGAGAACCTCTCAACTAAGCCAATCAACTCAATTCAAGACATGCTTTATCACTTTTGAATAGGAATAAATGCTGCTGGAAAGGTTACTAAGGCTTGTTCAGTGCTTGCTTTCTTTGCTGCCCCAATTTTTCCGGTCTTGTAAAGTCCAGTCCTGAATTGCTTGGAAACCATAGTAGAAATGTGAGATGAAACTTGATTTAAATATGTACTAGGGACAGGTGAATATCAGCTTTTTTTTTTTTTTCATGGAGAGTAAGGTTGAAATACTTCATAATAATCTTATTTTCTATAATAAATTCTATGCCTTAATTATAAATTAAAATATATGGATTCTGAGGAACTACATCATTGTGTCAGTTTTAGTTGTTTTATGTGATAATTCTCTCCTGATTAGCTAGTTTCTGCTGAAACACTTTTGAAATATTTTTAAGCAGAAATTGGCATGAGCATATAGTAGATTTTAGTGGCATAAGCATTGAAATTTTGGTTGTGTCAGGCTCATTGAAAGAGCAAAGTGCAAACACAAAACCCATCAAATGTAATCCCACCAACACAACCTATTTTGTGTAGTGACTGAATGAATTACAAGGCATCTCCACACAAATAATCTTCTTACTTCTCAAAGTTTAGGTAATCTAACATTAGTTCAGTGTAAGGACCGGAATACACGAGAAGGGTAGGTCTAAAAAATTGTTTGTGGAGATTCGTAGAGAAACAGCAGAGCCTCTGCTCTAACATTTTAATTAAGCCTTATATGTACAAAAGAATGGAAGTGTACAAATTTCTTAGTTTTTCTTATACATACATATTTCTTACAGATTTACCAACAAAGATGACCGCTTTTGTATATAACATTTGTTTATTGTCCTCCAATGTCTGTGTGCTAGGCAATCTGCAGTTTTATGTTGTTCTTTCTGAAGTCATGCAACCACTTATTTGGAAAAAAAAGAAATACAAGGATAATGTGTGATTAAATTTTTAGCATGACTAAATTATCTTCAAGATATGTTGAAATTGCAACCGAGCAATGCCATTTGTCTTCCCAAATAACTGTTGCATGTAGTGGAGCCCTGCTTTCCTGGAGATGGTTGAACACCTGCCTGCCCGCAGGAAGCAGTGAATGAATTCCTTGTTTTGCTTTGCTTGCGTGCATGGCTTTTGCTTTCCCTATTAAACTGTCTTTATCTCAACCCATGTGTGTTCTCACTTTTACCCTTTGAATTCTCTCCCCCATCCCACTGTGGTGGAGTGAGCGATCAGCTGTGTGGGGCTTTGTTGCTGGCTAGGGTTAAACCATGACACGCAGTTTGAATATAAATAGCACTTTTGCTAACAAAAAGGTAATTCTTGGTTTTATTTAATCAGTTACAAGTTTTGCTAAACATTATATGGGCTATTACAGTGCCTGTAAATCTCTCTTGGTGCCGTATTATGTTAACAAGTATATTCTATGTTATAGATAGCCTTTGTTATAGCCTATGTTATAGATAGCTTTTGTTATTCCATGTTTTCTCTGCTTTGGACAGGAGTTGTATTTATTCTGTGACTCTGGTAGTTTCTGGTTTTGTAGTCATAGGCATCTAGGCCTCTAGTCCTATAACTGACATGTGAAGGCATGATTCCCAACAGTATGTTCTTTGCAAATCTGTCATAGTGTGGAAAGCTATCTATCACTATATTCTTGTGTTTGAGAAGTGACACCAGCTGAATTACATTGTATAAAACTTAATTATTTTTGTTGTCTTAAAGTATTAACATTTTCGCAGTCTTGCTTCAGATGTGGATGCAGTGGTGTCAATCAAATATCTGCCATATGGGCATGTTGTTTGTTATAGAAAAGGAATAGCTATAGTGGTGTAGTGGCTACACTATCTCTAGACTGGTATAATGTTGTTTAAATCAGCATCCTCTGCCAGCTTCAGCAGTTGGGGACACCGCTATCAAGCTGTTTACGACTGCCCAGCAAGTGAGGGTTATTTGTTTCGTAATTCAACCAGCAGAGCAGAAATGCAAGTTCTCACTGTTCTGCTACCATAGAGTCAGCCATGGCTTCAAAACATTTAATCAGCAATTAGGTTAAATTTGCTAATTTTGCAGTTAAGTGGACCAAGTTGAATTCCACTGGCTGTACAGTGAAGAATTATCTTCTGTCAGGAATATAGTAACAAGCATTCAGGGGAAAAAAAGGTCTTGAATTTCTATCAGTGTGCAAAATGTTCCTGTCTCTCAAGTAACAAGCAGGTTTCACTGTTTTTCCTGTTTAAAAAAACAGACTAAACCTTGTTATGCCACTTTTCTCTGCTTATATTTTATTGAACATTGAATCATTTGGGTTGCTTGTTTCATCCAGACTTTTACAATGGCTGGTTTTGTATTTCTAGTCAGATAAACTAAAACAAACAAAAATAATCCTCAGCATTTTGAAGTTTTTTTAACCAGCAACATGATCTTAGTAGTCATGAGCAACTACTAATAAAAAACTATTTTTCTTTCTCCCTATAGGATATTTTCCTACATATTTTCATTGCCGGGAAAAGTGAAAATAGTTGATTCAAGACATAACAATGACATAATATTTTTCTAATATTTTATTACAGAAAAGTAATAGATTGCTTTACCAAATGTTACATATATTTTTAGAGATAATTACATAATTATTTTAATTAGCAGTTGTAATTCAAGATCCATCTTCACCTCTGCAGTAAAGGAAAACTTATGATCTATGGTTTTGCCTTTGCATTAAGTCCAGCCAAGGAATAATGTACACGGTTCACTGTCAGGCTGTGCAGTTAAATACCTCAATCCTAGGTGACGTTTTGCCTGTAAATCCCCATCCAGCTCCTGTCCAAGATCATCAGGAGAGCTGGGGGTAGTGGGACAGCACTTGCTATTTTTAGATACTAGGCCAGCTACTGTGTTCTGTTTACCTTGTTCTGGATAAGGTCATTTCCTAAAGTGAATATATATATATTGTTGATTGTAGGATGGAATGGGAAATTTGAGAGTCACTAAAAAAGGAATACGACTTGAAGGAATATCTGAATTTCTACTTCCTCTATATGTGAAAGAAATCCATTCCCGAAAGGTAGGTGTTTTTCATCTTTTTGTCTTAATTTACAGCTAATATAAATTAATCTCTTCAGCTCAAACTACAAAGTTTAATTCTTATACCTCCTAAATTAGCAATCAGTAGAATTTTGCTTTGAGAATACTTTAACAGAGAAAGCTTCCTTCATGTCAAAAATGATTTTTTTTTTCTGAAGCCTTGCTTGCCTTTTAAAAGAAATGTCTTATCCTAAAAAAAAAAAAAAAAAAAAAAGATTCAAAATATGTATATTCTATATTTCAAATGACCTCAGCATTGGGAATGGAACATTAAAGTCTTCATTTAATGTAAACTCCAGAAAAACAAGACTGGTGATATGCGCAAAATGCAGTGAAATAACCAACAGTTTTGTGTATGCCTAAGTTCTTTCTAGTATTATTAGCTACTGTGACTTTCTGGTATTATTAGCCAATTTTTCTTTCTATCTTCCCTTTTTTTTTTCCTCATTAGGTACAGGCAATCTTGCTAAACTGCATAATGTCTCTAGGATTTAGTTTTTCAAAGCAAACCATTTTCAGTGTTGCTCAAATGTAATTGTTTTATCATTTATCAGCATGTTGTTCAGAGCAAAAAAGAAAATCAAGACATTATGTGTTCGGAAACTCAGCGTAGCTCATATTAACTCATATCTGTCGTCTTATACATAGAAAGAGTCTCAAGTACACTCATCAATGGGATCCCAACAGTTTCCCGTTTCTCTTAATTAGTTTGTTCTTGTGTTAATAGATGCATAAGATGAACAGGTAGTCTTTTTGTCCTCTTTTTCTGTTAAACGAAGATGTCTCAATGCTTAAAAGAGTAACTATATTGTCCTAGGTAATGAAAAAAATCTGTAATATTTACATAACAGTATATTACCCAACAAAGTTGAATTTTAATCACTTTATTGAATAGATATTCACTTACTTTTCAACTCATCATCCATACAGTGTTACAAAATCTTGTTCATATTTCTTTTACAATAGTAGCTAAAAATATTAATAGCTAGGTAAGATAAATCTATAATCAAACACTTGGCAATTAATTATTCTAAATAGATGCAAATATCACAGCTTTGATATTGATCAGAATTTTGAGGGGAGGCAAAACAATGGAACAGTCAACGTGTAAGTACATAAATGACCAATTAATTACCAAACACTGCTGCCAAGTGTAAATCAAAAAGGCCAGATTCTGCCTTCTAAAATTGGATAGACATCTTCAAAAGGGTTTATTTTTTCCTAGATCACCTTGCCATGGAAAGATGTGAGCAACTCTAAAGTAGTTTCTGTAATCTTCTAATATTTTCTTTACAATTTTGAAACTATAGAATTCGTCAAATTAACTACACCACTTTATCTTTTATATATGCCTAAATAGAAAAAAATATTTTAAGGGTTCTGTTAGCCTTTAATATCTAGTAAAACAAATAAATTTAAAAGCATGCCTAAAGCGTGAACCTCTTTAGTATGAATATTCCAATGTGTACACTTTATGAAATCGGTGTAGCATTTCCAGGCTGTATGTTTTTAAAAAGCATACTTTCTCTTAGAGGTTGCAGAACATTAGTCATGGTTTGTGCATTTTTCCCAGTTCCTTTCTGCAGGTGAATGGTGTCCATTATTGTCCCATGTCCTGTTACTGTACATGAGAGTTATGATTTGGGGTATTTCCTTGCACACGGCTTCATATTGCAGAACATTGGTTCTGTTAAAGTGAACATAAGTTTCAAGTAAGAATAACGAGACATTCAAGTAGGATCTTAATTTCACTCAGAGCTGCTAAGAAATCTGAGCAATAAAAATGCACACAAATGTAGCTACTGAAAAGGAACAGGATTCAAAGTCTACCTGTAGCCTAACACAAGGTCATGCTAGTCCTGTGAGGCTCATGGGAAAACAGATAGGCCTGTCAGTACGTGGCCTCAAAACAGCAGAAGAAATAGAGCTGATCATTAGCTGGAAAAAGTATTTCAACTAAAATATTTTTGGTGTTGCAAGTCTACTTATATCTATTAATGTTAAAACACTTGTTATCTAACTAAAAAATTGTTATGCATGTATACTTGGTTCTCGTCTTGCAGTGCTTGTAAACCAGATGCACCTTCCAGTCTTTTGCCAACTTGCTCAGTAGTTGTGCTAAAGTTTCAGTAACTTCTGGTGAATGCAAATGTGAATGTTGTGAGGGAATGATAAAAAATCCCTCTGGAGCTGTATTAAGCTCTACGGTAGGGATTTGTGATGTCTCTGCATGGTGTTTCCCCCAGGCATGTAGCATCTGTATGTGACATTAAGTGTTTTGTCACTTACAGAATTGACCTTGGTGCTGTAGAAATCTAAGAGTGAGACGGGTTTTCTGAGCTCTCACTATAGTCAGTAGAGACCTAGCCAATACAGGCAGCGGATTCTGAAGACCTGTCCTGCTCACCAGCCAGTAGTGTTTACTTTGGGTGATGCAGAGGGGAATGCTTTCCCCTGCCTTTTCCATGGAAGCAGTTGATTTACATTTGGTGCATACGGGAGTTAAAATGTAGCATGGAATTGAAAACTCATTTGAAGCTGGCAACTTCGCAGTCTTTTACATGTGTACGTTGCTTACTTATTTTCTGAAAGAGCAATCTGAAATCTTTAAGCAAATGCAGTCATTCCTTTCTAAAAGAATGCACACATTAAAGTGGCATCATTCGATTAACTCTTGAGATTACTTGTAACATATTTGATAATAACTTTGTGGAATGGGTATGCTTCCTCTGTAGTGGCAACGTGGTTTGTAGAATGGCCACTGGGGGACCTCCATGTAGGGCGCTCAGCCCTGCAGGTCCAGGTGTCACTGCTTCCCCATTACTCAGCGTAAAGCAGAGTCAGGTGGGAAGACCAGTGATATTAGCAGGAGGTGTGCTGTATTATGGCTAAGAGGCATGAGCAGAGTTCTTAAGCATATGCTGAAGCTATCTTTTAGTTAACTAGATCTGGAGCTGATAAAATATGTTCCTTGATAGCGCAGGGTTCACCTTTGATTCTGATAGTGAACTACTTCTGATAAGAGTCCTGGGCAATCTGTTGAGTAACTAGGCTGAACTGATCTCTCTGCTGCTGCAATTTAAATGTGGCTATGTTTGCTAGCATAAAGTTCACATATGCTTACAGATGCTGAAATCACCACTTTTGCCAGCAGCATACCTGGATCCCCAAACAAGATCACTTATGCAGGGTTGAATGCAGACCTTAAATTGCCTTTATCAGAAGAGATGTATTGAACTTTGTATATAGGTTGAAAAATTGCTTTTTGTCTTGTGATTGCTTCATTAAAACCCTGAATATTAACAGTAAAAGTTAAAATACTTTGAGCTAAGTCAGTTGGAGAAAAAAGATGCACGATTTCTTAAAAGCAAAACTTCTAGTGATATTTTTTCTGGCCAGTATACAATTTTCTGTTGAAAAGTAGTAATAAAAAATCCAGGTCTTGAGTAATCTGAATATTCATTCATGTTTTGTCTGTAGAAGTTGTGTGAATGAGAGGGTGCCGTATCCCTAACCTTGCTCCTCTTGCTTTGCTCTTTCTACTGTAGTTTGTGGTGTCCACAGAACCACAGGTTCCTACCCAAAATGTTATCTTTACACAAAAAAAAAGATACTTCTGTATTTTCATGAAATGACTTAGCTGTGTGTCAGAACTTGAACTGATACATCAGAACCTGAGCAGATAAGGGCTTATTTGATCCTGAATTGACATCTTTATATCCCTATACAAGGGTACATATACTCTATGAATTGAGTTTTACTGAGAATTTAATTTTGACTATGGCTGGTCTAGTTGTATACTTTTGATTAAATTACTAGTCTGAAACCAGTAAGTTTAATCTAGACAATGTTATGTTTTCTGTGTTTATATCATTTGCATTGAGATGATGCAAAGAAACATGCAAAATACATTCTTTGTAGTGTACCATGAGACGTATGAAATCAGATAATACATAATGCAATAATCTGAATTAAATTTCTTCATCATCCTACTACTGCATCCATACCAGTGCATTTGTGAATGGAAACAGTCAAGGAACACTTTTATTAGTTTGTTATATAACAATAAAAGCAGTTCATGGTGTTTTCTTAAGAACGGATTCTTGGCTTTATTGATCTTTTTCATTCACATGTATGGTACTTAACTGTTGACAAAAATCAAGTTTTCTCTTTGTTAAATTGTTTCAATTGAAGATAAAATAAGTAACTAATTGTCCCTTAAACCAGGGGGGATTGTTTTGGTTTTTCTGTCCAATTAACAAGGTTAAAAATGTATTCTCTGAACTTAGAGAGTATGTGTTTTCAAGAGATATCCTTAGACAACATAGAATTTAATGATTTAGTTAAGTCATTAGAAAAGGTCTAGAAAACATGAAACACCGAATACATATACATTTCTAACTGAACACAGGAAATTCTGAAAACTGTCTGTATACCTTGTATTTTTAAATATGTGATTGAGAACTAAGAAATTGTAGGTAGGTTTCAAAGCAGAACTTCTTTCAGGTATCCTTTTCTCCAGATTTTCACTCTGGAGACCAAATATCCTTATAAATATTTAGAAAGTTTTATTTTATTTCCAAACCTGAATCAATCTTGACAAAGGCATTTCTACACTATATTTCTTTCTTCACTGTGTCTCTAAGTATGTAAAATCGTTAACATAGAATTAAAATTTGTCAATTCCAGCAGCACATTGCACATATTTAGGTTTGTGTTTGGGCTTTTGTAAGAACCCCCCCCTTTTTTTTTTCTGAGAGAATGCCTTTGAGTTTCTCTTTTCAATAGGGTTAAAAAGAAGCAGTGTAGGAGCCCACATCAAAAGCCTTTCTGAAGCTGAGGAGGGACATCCACTGCTCTTGTCCATTGAGCCAGTCTTCTCATTATACAAGACCACCAGATCAGGTGCTGCTTGTCATTACTAAATCCATTCTTGTTTTTTCCCAGTTGCCACCTTTTCCTTCATCTGCTATGAAGTGA